CTGGGCAGAGCGGTGAGGGAAGCATTGCCTAAAGAGGAGGACCAGGGAGAGGGAGGGGAAGAGGAGGACGGGGAGGGGGGGGGGCAGGAGGATCGTGACGAGATGGAAGAGGAGAAGGTGGTGGAACGGAGGGAGGGAGAGAGGAGAAAGGAACGGGGGAGGAGTAAGCAAGCAAAAACGAGAAGAGAGAAGGATGGAGAACGAAAGTATTTCTTTTCTTTTAATATTACCACTAATTCCAGTTATTCTCTTGTTGCTACTTCGTTCTCCAGAGGGTGGATGGAATAGGGATAGGAATCCGCCGACCCCTTAGGCGTGTGCGCCATCCCTCGTAGCTAGAGAATAGTCTCCTTGAACACTCTGGTCTCTCCGTGAATCCATACCTGCACTTTCCTGTCAAACTGATCCTCCGCCTTTCCCCGGCATCCTGAACCTCTGGGTTTGTCGTTGTTCCGATCTTCGGACCCCCCGCCCGACAATTTCTCACTCGGAACCGGTCTTCACCCCCCACCCTGAAAAATCCTCGCTGGGACTGTCTGGGACTCCCCCGCACGCCTCCACCACGTCTGACACCGCCAGCCTCCCGAGGCCTTTGGTCGCCCCACCACGTCTGACACCGCCAGTCTCCCGGGGCCTCTGGGCATATGTTTTTTCATTAATTGTTAAAAGACACCCACCCTGCAACATCCTCCCCAAGAGCCCCCACCACGCCCCCACCACGTCTGATACACCCTGCCTCCTGGAGCCTCTGGGCCTACGTTTTTCATACGATGCTAGGGGCCCCCCACACTGCAAAATCCTCACCGGGACCCCCCCACCACGTGTCCCTCCACGTAAGACACCGCCAGCATCCTGGAGCCTCTGGGCATTCGCTTTTCAAACGTTTCTAGAGGCCACCCACCCCGCAAAATCCTCGCCGGCACACCCCCGCCACGTCCCCCACCCTGCAAAATCTGCGCCGGGACACCACCACCACGCCCCCACCACGTCTGACACCGCCGGCCTCCGGAAGCCTCTGGGCATACGTCTTTCATACGGTTTTTAGGAAACACCCACCCTGCAAAATCTTCGCCACCACGTCTGGCACCGCCAGCCTCCTGGAGACCCTGGGCATACGTTTTTCAGATTTTTTAAAAGCCACCCACCCTGCAACATTTTCGCCGGGACCCGCCCACCACGCCCCCACCACGACTGACACCGCCAGCCTCCTGGAGTCCCTGGGCATACGTTTTTCATAAGATTTTACGGGCCACCCACCCTGCAAAAATGTCGCCAGGACCCCCCCACCACGCCCCCACCACGTCTGACACCGCCAGCCTCCTGGAGTCCCTGGGCACACGTGTTTCATAAGTTTTTAGGAAAAAAAAAGTAAAAGAAGTAATCATAATAAAATTAAAAAAACTAAATATAATATAAACAAAAAAATAAAGACTAAGAGTTTTTTAAGGAAACACCCACCCTGCAAAATTTGCGCCGGGACCCCCGCCAACCAACCCCCCCAACCACGTCTGAAACGCAAAGCCTCCTGGAGTCCCTGGGGCAATACGTTTTTCACTCGTTTTTGGGAAACACCCCCCTGCGAGATTTTCGCCGGGACCCCCCACCACGCCCCCACCGCGTCTGACACCGCCAGCCTCCCGGAGTTCCTGGGCATACGTCTTTCATAAGTATTTAGGAAACACCCACCCTGCAAAATTTGCGCCGGGACCCCCCCACCACGCCCCCACCACGTCTGACACCGCCAGCCTCCTGGAGACCCTAGGCATACGTTTTTTACTTGTTATGTTGGAAACACCCACCCTGCAAAATTTTCGCCGGGACCCCCGCCACCACGCCCCCACCACGTGTGACACCGCCAGCCTCCTGGAGCCCCTGGGCACACGATTTTTATAAGTTTTCAAGGGCCACCCACCCTGCAAAATTTACGCCGGGACCCCCCCACCACGCTCCGCACCACGCCCGGCTGACACCGCCAGCCTCCGATAGTCCCTGTGCATACGTGTGTTCATAAGATTTAGGGGGGGCCCCACCCTTCAAAATTTTCGCTGGGATCCCCCCCCACCACGCCCCCACCCGTCTGACACCGCCAGCCTCCTGGAGCCCCTGGGCACACGATTTTTATAAGTTTTCAAGGGCCACCCACCCTTCAAAATTTACGCCGGGACCCCCCCACCACGCCCCCACCGTCTGACACCGCCAGCCTCCTGGAGTCCCTGGGCATACGTGTTTCATAAATTTTGAAGAACCCCACCCACCCTGCAAAATTTTCGCCGGGACCCCCCACCACGGCCCCCACCACGTCTGACACCGCCAGGAGTCCCTGGGCATATTTTTTCCATAAGTATTGAGGAAACGCCCACCCTTCAAAATTTTCGCCGGGACCCCCCACCACGCCCCCACCACGTCTGACACCGCCAGCCTCCTGGAGTCCCTGGGCATACGTTTTTCAACGGTTTTTAGGAAACACCCGCCCTGCAAAATTTTCGCCTGGACCCCCGCACCACGTCTGACACCGCCAGCCTCCTGGAGTCCCTGGGCATACGTTTCTCATGAGTTTTTAGGGGCCACCCACCCTGCAAAATTTTCGCCGGACCCCCCCCACCACGCCCCCACCACGTCTGCCAGCGCCAGCCTCCTGGGAGTCCCTGGGCATACGTTTCACAGAAGTTTTTAGGGGCCACCCACCCTGCAAAATTTTCGCCGGGACACCTCCACCACGCCCCCACCACGTCTGACACCGCCAGCCTCCTGGAGTCCCTGGGCATACGTTTCTCATAAGTTTTTAGGGGCCACCCACCCTGCGAAACTTTCGCCGGGACCCCCCCACCACGCCCCCACCACGTCTGACACCGCCAGCCTCCTGGAGTCCCTGGGCATACGTTTTTCATATGTTTTGGGGGGCCACCCACCCTGCGAAACTTTCGCCAGGACCCCCCCACCACGTCCCCACCACGTCTGACACCGCCAGCCTCCTGGAGTCCACGCGCATACGTTTCTGATAATTTCTAAGAAGCACCCACCCTGCAACATTTTTCGCCGGACTCCCCCCACCACGCCCACACCTCGTCTGGCACCGCCAGCCTCCTGGAGTCCCTGGGCATACGTTTTTCAGATGTTTTTGGGGGCCACCCTCCCTGCGAAACTTTCGCAGTGCCCCCCCCCCACCACGCTCGCACCACGTCTGACACCACCAGCCTCCTGGAGTCCCTGGGCATACGTTTTTCAAAAATTTCTGAAGGCCACCCACCCTGCGAAACTTTCGCCGGGACCCCCCCACCACGCCCCCACCACGTCTGACACTGCCAGCCTCCTGGAGTCTCTGGGGATATGTTATTCATATGTTTTTAGGGGCCACCCACCCTGCAAAATTTTCGCCGGGACCCCCCCAACACGCCCCCACCGCGTCTGACACCGCCAGCCTCCTGGAGTCCCTTGGCAAACGTGTTTCATAAGTTTTTAAAGGCCACCCACCCTGCTAAATTTGCGCTGGGACCCCACCACCACGGCCCCACCACGCCTGACACCGCCAGCCTCCTGAAGCCCCTGGGCAAAAGATTTTCAAAAGTTTTCAAGGGCCACCCGCCCTGCAAAATTTTCGCCCGGACCCCTCACCACGCCTCCACCACGTCTGACACCGCCAGCCTCCTGGAGTCCACGCGCATACGTTTCTCATAAATTGTTTGAAGCACCCACCCTGCAACATTTTTCGCCGGACCCCCCCCCACCACGCCCACACCACGTCTGACACCGCCAGCCTCCTGGAGTCCCTGTGCATACGATTTTCAGATGTTTTGGGGGGCCACCCTCCCTGCGAAACTTTCGCAGTGACCCCCCCCACCACGCTCCAACCACGTCTGACACCGCCAGCCTCCTGGAGTCCCTGGCATATGTGTTTTCCATGTTTTTAGAGGGTCCACCACTCCTGCGAAACTTTCGCCGGACCCCCCACCACTCCCACATCAGCGGTCTGACTCCGGGGGGGGGGGGGCACCTCTTGGAGTCCCTGGGCAAATGTCATTCATATGGTTTTAGGGGCCACCCACCCTGCAAAATGTACGCCGGGACCCCCCCACCACGCCCCCACCGCGTCTGACACCGCCAGCCTCCTGGAGTCCCTGGGCAAACGAATGTCATAAGTTTTTAAGGGCCACCCACCCTGCAAAATTTGCACTGGGACCCCCCCACCACGCCCCCACCACGCCTGACACCGCCAGCCTCCTGGAGTCCACGCGCATACGTTTCTCATATTTTTTGGGGGGCCACCCACCCTGCGAAACTTTCGCCGGGACCCCCTCACCACGCCTCCACCACGTCTGACACCGCCAGCCTCCTGGAGTCCCTGGGCATACGTTTCACAGAAGTGTTTAGGGGCACCCTGCGAAACTTTCGCCGGGACCGCCCAACCACGTCTGACACCGCCAGTCTCCTGGAGCCCCTGGGCATACGTTTCACATAATTTTTTGGGGACCATCCACCCTGCGAAACTTTCGCCGGGACTCCCGCACCACGCCCCCACCACGTCTGACACCACCAGCCGCCCGGAGTCCCTGGGCATACGTTTTTCATAATTTTTTAGGGGAGCCCACCCTGCAAAATTTTCGCCGGGCCCCTGGGCACACGATTGTTATCAGTTTTCAAGGGCCACCCACCCTGCAAAATTTACGCCAGGACCCCCCCATCACGCCCCCACCGTCTGACACCGCCAGTCTTCTGGAGTACCTGGGCATACGTTTCTCATAAGTTTTTAGGGGCCACCCACCCTGCGAAACTTTCGCCGGGACCCCCCCACCACGCCCCCACCACGTCTGACACCGCCAGCCTCCTGGAGTTCCTGGGCATACGTTTTCTCATATGTTTTTAGGGGCCACCCACCCTGCAAAATGTGTGCCGGGACCCCCCCACCACGCTCCAACCACGTCTGACACCGCCAGCCTCCTGGAGTCCCTGGGGATACGTGTTTCATAAATTTTTAGGGGCCACCCACCCTGCAAAATGTGCGC